TTGGGGGGTTTGCCGAGCTTTTTTTTGCAAATTTGCTTTTCATAGAAGAAGTTTTAACGGAGTCGGCTGTTGTGCAGCTGGAGAGGCCGCTTTTTCCCAGCAACCAATAAACTTTCATTACCCTTTTTTTTCCTGTACTTGGTATTTTTAGTTTTCCTGTAATTGGTATTTTTAGAATTTTCTCAGTTTAATATAACGGTTTTCCTGGTTTTTTTCGCACGTGATATGAATAATGAAAAGGTTTCTTCAAACATAATTCATTGAACAAAAATAAACAGAATAATGGAGAAAGCAATAATCACTTATGAAGTACATTTACTGATCTTAGATTTTTTTTAGGTCACATAATGGCTGTCCTGGTTGTAGTCGCACGGGATTTGGATAATGAAAGGGTTTAAGGCGCTAAGCATGTTTTTCTGTGTTTCACATAGTCACGTAGTAATTTGGAATATAACATTTTACTGTAGTAACAATTTATAATGCATTATATTGAAAATTACAATAAAAACTTTAAAATGGAAAAAAAGAAAATAAAAAAAGACGAAGGAAAATTGACGCTATGTATAAATTGAACATTATTTACAGATAGAATAATGATCAGCAACGCAAAAATGTACATAAAATTAAGATTATATAAAAATATCATTCCTAACGTATATCGCTGCCGGTACCTATTCTTTGCCCTCACTGGAGGAAGTTTCGGATCCGCTACGATCACCCAGCTGGCATCCCACTTTAACGAAAGTTGCAGGTTCGAGAGGTCGGACGTCGCGCATGTACATAAAGTCCTCCGCAAGTTTGCAGTGTTTGACCCAATTGTGCGGAAAGTTTAAAGGAAGTTCATTTATTTTCTGAAGTAAAATACTTGTAGTGATTCATTTTCTCATCCGCTTTAAGTGGTACGGGGCACTGTCAAGCACCAGGACAACGCCCTTACTGCTGCAGTTCGTCTTCAGCGTCGCAGCAGGTCGGGTGAACCAGGTTTCATAAACCTCAAAGCTCATGTCTCGGTGGTAGTCTCCATCTTCGTTTCGCTGCCCCGATATCAACACCTCCTCGGCCGCTTTCACCAAGCCTTCTGCAGTCATGCAATGCAGGACGACTAGTCGTTTTCCTCTGGAAGTTGGAGCTGGTGATGGAACTGCTTCAAACAGGGGGTCTTGGTAGTTCTCCAGAACGACCCAGTTCCTACAATTTTCCATACCGCACCACACCCATGTTTCGTCGGTGTAGGCGACGGTCTTCCCGTCGTGCCTGCATTGCCGAATCCGTTCGATGTATCGGATACGTAGGCGGCGAAAGCGTCCTGACTCCATCAACACAGGACTCCGCTGGACCAGTTCGTTTCTAAATTGAACGCATTGTTTTATATCGGTTTCACTGTTTTGTACTAATCACTTAATTGAGTAACGTATAGACGATACCTATAACCGAGTCCCAGCAGCAGTTTCCTGAGTCCCCTTTCTCCAATCCCGTTTACCGGCCAGCACTCGCAGTCCTCAAAGCATTTGTTCAAACACTGCCGTAGTTTCTCGACAGCTACAGGCGTACTGGCCCGGTGAAGGTGGTTGATGATGTCACGGACAGTGTCGTGTACCACTGGATCGAATCGGGCTGCATAGTCCTCCCATACGTCCTACGCGTCA